TCCTTGGGAAATCACAGCCTGGCAGAGAAGCAAGCAGGGCAGCTGTACTCGCTCTCGGGACGCCAGCCGTAGCCCCATTCCCGAGTAACCCCTGATCTGGTTCTTCTTCAAGGGACACAGTGACAAGCTATAAAAGCCCTCCATATGAAAAGGTCACTTGAATTTTCACAGGACAAGGACTAGCAGCAGCCATCCAGCAGGTCTGGAAATCCTGCCTCTAATCCTGGGAAGCTCAGACAAGCTCCTTTGTTAGAATCTGCACAGAGGAGAGGGCCATATGCTGGGGAGGCCGGCAATCCCAAAGCCGGCTCCCCTGAGCTGTCGGAAGGAAAAGACCACCCAAACAAGAAAAACTAGTCTTGAACACCTCCAGAAGGCCTGAGGCTCCTCTTCAAAAAGCTAGACTCCATACTGCTCCAGGTGCACATGGGCAGTCACTAACGACCTCCGCTTTGCCACCGCCTCAGTGGGCACCTCACTGGGGCTCCTGTTTTTCATTAGATCCATAGTGCGCGTCGTCTTGCTGGGCTACACCTCTCAGGATTGTGGTGATTTACCTTATATCCCTTTTGCTATGCTCTCCACTGGATGCCTGGACATCTAAAATTACTCTCCTCACACATTTGCCAGGCTTTCTCCCATTCAGGAGGCAGCTCCATAGGCCTTTGTATATAGACCTGAACTCTTCTGTCATTACCTTCAGGTTGGTTTTTCTTTTCCAACCCATCCAGTGAGCTACAATACCCCAAGGTAGTTAGGAAAAAAATAATCTCCAGTGAGGACCTACAACCTCTCATATAAAATCTATGTGAAGGAGAGTCCCATGGGGAGAAGACATGTGCTCAGGCTTTCACAGAGAGCACATTGGCCAAGCATTGGCCGTGACTCATCCACATGGCTGCACTGACACAGGTTCTACAATCTGAGGTACAGGATCTCAGGATCAATCCTGAGGGGATTTCACTGACCTTCTCAGACCAAAAAGCTACAACTCTTGTTGCACAGGTCCTGCTTTACCTTGGTCTTAACCATCCAGTAGAAAAGTATGAAGACGAAATATAGGAAGTAAAGCCATGCTGTTATGTTGAGCTGTGGGGGACTCAGGTCAATAATTTCTGACATTGCCAGTTAAACAGAAGACCCAATGCTATTATGGGCTACTGGACTCTTTTAGAATATTTTGCTGAGTTTACACACCTATAATATTCAAATAACGGAACTTAGAAAAAATGGGGTATACCGATGAATGTCCATTTTGTATCTGTGTATTCAAAGTGGTTGGGATAGATATATAGTTGCATTCTCTTAATGAATAGAATGATTTGTTCTAATGGTGTTTGTAAATAGGATCACAAGTCTGCATCTTGTAGAGCAATTAACCACTAAGAAGAATATATGCAGTGTATTATTTGTTGAAACTGTACTTCCGATTTGATTTGAAACTGTCTCATTGCTATGTTTATCAATAAAACTTTGAAAAAAAATAAATCCTGAAAATAAAATAAAATGAAATAAAATCTATGTGAAGACAGAGGCCTGCACACCCTCAACATCCCATAATGAACGGAGGGTTTATGTCTCTCATGGGAACTGAGGCAGGAGGTTAGGGCATGGCAAACTGTCTGAGCAAGTGAGTATGGCCTGTCAATCTAGGACATGTGAAAAAAAAAAAAAAAAAAAAACAGTTCCCAAAGTCCTGCACTGGGGACCAATCAGAGAAAGCTATCTCCAATTCTCCCTCAGAGAACTCAAGCCAGCATCTGAAAGGATGGCCTAGACCTGGTGTCAGCCTTAGGGGAGGGAGGTACAAGGGATGGTGGCCCCTGAGTTCTGCAGAGGTGCGCTTCTTTTCCTACTTTCAATTGGCCATCACTTCTCTGCACAGTATGTTTTCTTTCCTACGTTTAATAAATGTGAAAACCCTACTACCTTAAAAAGAGGGAGAAGGAAAGAAAGAAGAAAATGAAACAGAGAGAGGGGAGAGAGAGAGAGAGAGAGAGAGAGAGAGAGAGAGAGAGAGAGAGAGAGAACTGAAGCTTTGGACTAGGATTAGGATTAAGGCTGGAGTCAAGGACAGCACCAAGGTCAGGGCTAGGACCACGGACAGTGTCTCAGACCAGGAGTCGTTAGAAACAGTAGCCAGGGCAGAAGACTCTAGGACCAGGCTGGGGAAGCTCCTGGAAGAGCAGATGGTAAAAGCATTTGGGAAAACTGCTTGGCCAGATCCACTCAATTTAGTAAAGCTGAACATATGCAAGCCTTATAACCCTGTAGCGCCTCTCCGGGGACTATAACCAAAACCACAATACTACCCACAGTCTCCCCACACTGGGGAAACCCAGAGGTCTGGCATCAGTGCAGTGGACTAAACACACTGTGGTTTATTCACACAGTGGAATAGTAAAGCAGTGGGAATGAGCTACAGTCATATCCAATAATGTGGATGGATCTTTCTAATTTGAGGTTGGGCAAAAGAAACCAGAAGCCTAAGAGAATGTGCTGGGTAATTCTATTTACATAAAGTTGGAGAGAGGGTGGCTGTAGTGTTCTAAGCAGAAATTCAGTGCCATTCATGTGGGGGGAGAGGCCAGAGGGCCATGTGGGAACCTGGGGTGCTAAGGATACTTACTTAATTTCTTATTTATTTGTTTTGCTGTGGGTCATCCCCACAGCTTTGCTCATGGTAGGTGAGTGCTCTACTACTGAGCTGAACACCTAGACACTTGAAAAGCAGCTATCTACTGTGTGTGTGTGTGTGTGTGTGTGTGCGTGCGTGCGTGTGCGCGTGTGTGGTGCTAGGAACTGAACGCAGGGAACACTGAGTTTCTCATTCTGGGTGACGTGTGTCCCCCTGTGTCAGTGGAGTTCTCTGAGGCAAAGGCTGGGAAGTAGGGGAGACCCGGCTGCAGCAGGAAAGATAGGATGGGGAGAGGGCTCCGGGGGCTGAAACAGGAGGACTGCTTGAGCTTGGTGCCAGCCGGAGCGACACACAGTAAACTCAAGGCCAGCCTGAACTGCGTGGTGAGCCCCTGTCTCACAGAATCCCACTAAATCCCCCAAAATATGGATATATAAATAAGAATATGCCTGTACATAAGCCTAGCCATCCACCCAAGTGAGCCTGCATCTTGGCACACATACATGTGCGTGAGATGTGGGCACTGGGAGCACACACGCACACACACACACGCACACACGCACACACACACACACACACACACACACACACACACAGAGGAACTCTCTCACATGCAGGAACTCTCTCTCTCTCTCTCACCCCTTCCCTTTTGTGCTCCTTCCCACCTATCTCACCACTGGATGACACCTAGGAAAGCAGCTATCACATCGGCTTGGAGGCCAGCAGAGAACCCAAGAGAGCCCTTTCGATGGGAGCAGAGGCCACAGCCCTGTGCTTCCCTGGCCGAGGGGTCCCTGGGGGCTGCCAGCCCTCTCCTCTGGGCACTGGTCCCTGCCTCTTCCCTGTGCTGCGGGAGGAGGAGGTCCTGGCCGTAGGAAGGGGTGCAGAGAACCAACCCAGGGGCTCTCTGAAGGCGGGAGGTTGCTCTCCGGTGGCGGGGTGGCCTCCCTGTCCCTCCAACGCCCTCAGCTCTCCGCTCTCTCGGAGCATCCGACTTTCTCCCTGGGAACTGGCACCCGGCGTCTCGTGTCTTCCGCTGCGCCTCTCTGAAGTGTGGCTGGAGGGGGCGCCCTCCCTGCAGTCGGAGGCCGGGCAGGGACGGGGGCACCTTCCCAAACTGTGACTCAGCACCCCTGGTATTCGGGGTTGTGGCCAATTCTGACACTTTGCTCATCGCTCATCGGGGACTGGAGGTCCCAAGGGGTGCGGAGGAGGAGGCGTTGAGAGAGAGGGTCCAGAGTAGGGGGCTGGTGCCGCCCAGAGCCCCTCGGCACACCCCAGCCGCATCTGGCCCTGTGGGGCTCAGGCAGAGGGGTGGGGATTAGGGACAAGGGAGTAGTGGGCGGTTTCTCAGTACTGGGTTCAAACCAGGTAGGAAACGGGCACCAGTGAGGGGGCGCGGGGGCCTGGTGCACCTCACCCTGGAGACTGAGCCGAGCCCTGGGAATGCGCAACTTGGAAGCGCTTTCCGGACCCCGGTAGGAAAGGTCAGGAGAACCAGGCCCGGGGGTGGTTGGGTGCTGAGCAGGGCCACCACCTCGGAGGGAGGCAGCGGGGGCGAGGCGCGGCCAGGGCTGGCGACAGGCTCAGGCGAGGGAGGACGGGAAGCAGGGGTGGCAGTGGCAGCCCAGGGTGTTTCCGAGTTGCTTCCCAGGGGTTTCCTCAGTTCCACTTCCAGTTGTCCCTAAGCCATCAAATTCTTTCCAGAGGAGATAAGACACCGCGCCCGGCCCAGTGTCACGTGTACCGTGGGCGGGCGGGAGGTTCGGACCGACCCAAGCCGGGAGCCCGGGCAGGAGACGGCCGGCGACGCAGCCCTGCGCCTCGGGACCTCACTCGGCCTCTGCGCCCCGCTGACCCGTGACTCACGCGTGCAGCGCGCTCAGCCAAGGACAAGGTCGGGAACTCGTCCGCAGGCTCCGCGCCCTGCCTGCGTCTGGATCCTCGCTGCGCCCCGCTCAGCATTTCCTGGGGGCTTCGGCCTTCCGGACCCCTGCCCAGGATAGGGGCTGGGGCGCAGGCACAGGGCTCCCTGCCTGAGACCTGGCGAAGCCCCTCGGCACCCCAGGGACCGGCTCGCCCTCAGCTACATTGCTGGGGACCCCACCGCGATTCCGGCGAGGTCTGGCCAGCCACCCAAACCTCAGCGATAGCCACCTGCACCCTGGCGCCGCGGGCCGGCTCCCCTTTTATGTTCCCGGCCTCTCGCGTGTCCTCGAGTCCCACTTCGAGGACGCCGAGCCCGCCCGCCCGGCACACAACCTCCCGGTGGCGTCGGTCCCCGTGTCCGAGGGAACCTGCCCGGATTCCTGGATGCCTTCGCCGGCGGTGGCTGAACGCGGGCTCGGGGCGCTGGCCTTACCTGGGCGGTGGGGCGCCGGCTGCACCCCTGCACCTGCTCTGCTCCGACGCCGGGAGCGGGGCCTCGGGCTTGGCACCTCTGCAGTCCTGGACTCCTGCGAGGTCACCTCCTGGTGCCTCGCAGCCTCTGCGAGCCACACCGCAGCTGACTGGCGTGGATCTGGGCCGGACAGGGAAGGGGCGGCGGCCTAGAGCTGCAGGGAGGGGAGGTCAGGAGGGGCGCGAGGTGGGGCTGC